TTTTTAATTTACTTTGGTAATATTTTAAGGTTTTAGTGTAAGACCGAATAAGAGGAATTATTTAAGCAAATGTTGAAAATGAAAAAAAAAAAAAAAAATACAGCAGCATTACGTATCACATTTATGGCACGGGGGGGGGGGTCCCTCATTATCATTACTTAATAAATGGACGATCACATTAACTTTTTTGTATGTTATCAAACTGAAAAAAAATCCCCAATAAAATCCAATTAAGACCCGAAATACCCTCTGGAGCGATTAAAAATGTAATACACCCGATTCAGGCCGAAGTAAGATTGTTTTGACCGGTTGTGTAACAGGTGAGGTTGCCGAAGACTGTTTCGCTCCACGAAATGTTACTCCACCAGCCGATAATGTCTTGAAGTGTATCAGTTCAGAGAGGGGTAGTGTTCACGGGTGATTTGGTTCTGATATCACTAATAAATGTAATGAGTTGTAAGAATTGATACAAATTATGTAGAAAAGAATTAATGTCAAAATAATTAACATTGAATTATGCGGTAGAAAAATTAAAGTAAAGCCTTGTACGTAGATTGTAAACGGACAGCTCGCAATCGCCGAAAATCAAAAAGAGAGCTTTATTATGTTGTATCTCTCTTCTTTTAAATTAAACTCGCCTTCGAGCGACCTTCAGTCGAGGGATGATCTACGTAAATAACATTCCTTCATGTGGTAGTTCTGCTATGCTCTTTTCATGAATTGTAGCATCATGACTTCTCCCTCATATGTCACATACAGTTGTTACTGCTTTTAGATAAATCAAATAAGTAAAGGAAATTGCCATGCACTAGTTGGATAGTAATAGGAAGTACCACAGCCCCTACACAAGTTAGCCAACGTTCGTGGAATCTATTCCAAACATTCCTACTTGTTACTGACCACGCCCCCCGCCCAATTTAGTTTGACATGAGACAAATAAATGCCCACAGGACCGATAGTCCAGTCAAATGGTGCTCAAAAAGGGCAAATAGCGAGAGGTTTTGGTTTAGTTTGTGATTGGGTTTATGCATGATTTTTGGGGTCGCTGAATACGAATGATTAATTATTAAAATATTAATTTTCTTTCACAGTATTAATTCCCTCTTTTTTCCAATTATAATGTAAACGGATGCCGCATATATTTGTACACAAATGTATGGGTTTTAAATTACATGTAGGGCGAGGGATGTAAACTGGGGTGCCGCAAAATAACATCCAGGCATATACTAAAGGCGATGCCATTGGTCGTAGAAAGAAAACCTTGTATGCATAAAATGTAGGCAATTTTATCGTCTTTCCTTTCATATCAGGTTAATATTTTCGAAAAATTTATAGTTTTTAAATTATATTGAGGTAAAGTGGGGTAATTCACGTTTTTTTTTCTTGTGTTTCGCTTATATCAACAAATTTCGCTTTTCTCCCACAGCTAAACCGTTCATTCGAGAAAAAATCTTATTGACATTAAATGTAGGTAATTGTATCTTCTTGTATTTCAAACAGGACCATTATTTACCAAAAATAGATGGCTTTTGAGTTATAAAAAAACTGAAAATAATGAGCCATTTTTACACATTTTGTTCTTAAAAAGGTGTTTTTGGGCCAAATTCTTGTTGGCATTGGTGTTCGGCGAACGAAAAAGCATGTAGGAACCAAATTTCAAAACTCCACCAAACCTTCCCTTTTTTCCACCTATGCGAACCAACTATGCCAAGATAGGCTACCCGGAGTTGCACAGAGGCCTCGCTTAAATACCTGCAACGTGAGGCTGCAACGTTAAGGCTTGTGGTAGTGGGACTCGACCCCTTAGACCTCTCAGCTGAGATTCGAACGCGGTGACCGTCTGGCCAACTGGAGGCCCGGCGAGTTTTATTTATAGACTAGGCGTTATTGCGGAGCTTGACGGTTCACTTGTTTTTTTGGCGTGTTCGTTTGGAGCATAGACAAGTTATCAGGCGCCATTAAGGAAAAGAAATAATAGATGGAGATGAAGATGTGGAATAGGGAAGGGTGGGTGGGAACTAATTCTCTCTTTCGATACTTTTGAACTCTATCGGAATGACTCAAAATGTTTTTAAGCAAGGGAATTATATTGGCCCTGAGCAATTCAACAGCCTCACCTGATGTTCGTAATGTTTTCGAGATATTCGCGAAAAAAACGGGAGTGCGCACTTATATGCTGCTGTTAAAGGCGTGGTAAAGTGGTATGGGGAAGTTCTTTTCGAAATCCTATACGGATATTTACTTTCCTCTTATTTTGAAGGCCGCGTGTACTGAATTTCTATAAGATCGGAATAAAACTGGCGAGTCATAGATATACAAAGAGCGTAAACTCGCGATTATTAACAAAGTCGTGATTATTAACAAAAGCGGATACACATCACAGTACTTCAACTTTAATACATACGCGTGCTGAGTACCGTTTGACATCGTCTTCGAAAAGTAATGCTCGAAACACCCACTTTGGGAAAAAATGTTCAGTCTAGGAATTCCTTATATGGTTAAGAGTGATTCATGACGCAGCACAATGCAACATAATATAAAAATAGTAGTATTCAGGTCCAGCTGAAAGCATGACATTTCCCAAGCAGGCCTATGACTACAGGCGGCACGAGAAAATAATTATGATTTATTTTTGACAAATATTATACACTATGTGCAAGGGTGTGTGCAAAATTTGCACGTTTTCTGGCGGTCCAAAATCAGAACCCCGCGCCTTTGTTATGCGTAGTTGAGTGATGAATAAAATAATCAACAAAGCGTGGTTAGCGATATTGAAATACAAATTTCCGTCCAGAGTAATAGAAAACTTCATAGAGAAAAGGAATAGAAAATTGGAGGAATGAGGCTCCTTGCATTTGTCAAAACTGTGTAGATTAGCACAATCCAGATCATTGGCGGTAACTGCATTTGAATAAAACCGGAATAACTCATTTAGAAGGAAACTATTTAAAAAGGTAATGGTTAGATATGCCATCCCAAAACCTGGGTATGACGATAAGTCATACGACAGGGGGAGTTGTGACTCCTCAGGGAAGATAATTTATTCCGACGTAAACGCAGGCTAAAGTTTGGAACCGAGATACAAACTAGATAAAGGGGAGAAAACAATTGGCAGAGGAGAATTTGGAAAGAAACCTAATAAAATGGGGAAAGTACAATACATTTACGTTCGAAGAAAAATGAGAAAATATTTGTTTCTCGTAAATGTGAAGAAAAGCATTATGCAAAATAAAACAAAAGTCCAGATTTTCCTTTCCCATTTCTTTCGGATTTCAAAGGATCTTGCACCCCCCCCCCCCAACTAACATTTATTTCTAATCGCGAGGACCTCAGGTGAAAGGCATCCATTTGGTGCTCGAAATAGATAAGAGATGAGTGAGCTTTTATTTGTGCCCTTTCAGCTATGTTTTTCCTCGTTTCCTCTACCATCAGATACGATAGGAACAGATTGGTCGCGGAAGCGAGCTACGGTCTGGGGAAACTTTCCGAGATTTGTCCACTTTCTCACGGTACGCTTCATCCAAAATAATCCGGATAGGAGTGAATGATTTTTGTCTTGGAAGCGAAAAATCTCGTTTCACATGCGATCTTAACTAATCACTGAAAAGTTCGAGTCGGGCTACCCCGTGAGAAGCCGGTCAATTCCTTGTGGGAGGAAATGGTTATGCGTGGAATTGATGGAAGGAAACCACGAAATCCATCGATCGGAACAACCGGCTTTCGAGAGTTCTTAGACACGCAGATGCGTGATCCAACGCAACGCAACGAAAACACAGCTCCTTCGTGGCCCGAGCGTTGGACCTACCGGTCTCCAAACTTTCAGTTGCATAATTCCTACTACGTACTAAGGGAAATAATAATAATAATAATAATAATAATAATAATAATACAAGGAAGAGTAATAAAAATAATAGCCGTCCTTATGGCGCAGACGGTTGCCGCAGCAGTTTTCTCCGCCGAGGAGGCTGCAGGTTCGAGTCCTGCGTAGACGAAGTCGTATTTGTCCCTTCAACCCTCATTATCGTCCTATCACCTCATTATTCATAATTCAAGGAGTAACAACCTTGTCATATCAAGGGATACAGCTGAAAAACAATGAATATGAATCCCATAATAACACACGTTAATCTCTCTGGGGCCTCGGAAGATTATGTGTAGTGTGGTCATTATTAACCGATACGCTCGTAATAATACTAAAAATAGTAACAATTGTTTTCGATCCGATTTGGCATAACAGTAGAGCACTCGACGAAATTGGATAAGTGCCGCTGCAAACGGGCCATGAACCGCGCGCGTTCTTTCCTTCCTCTTCCATATCCTATGCACTTTCACTTGCATGCTCTACACTGCCACACATTTCAGGGAGACCAGCCGGGACGGTGGTGGTGCTGTTGGTAATGGTCGTGGCGGTGCCCCGCTTGGGGAGATACATTGAATGGGAAAGAAGTGCGGGGTGCAGGTCGGCGCCGGATTTCACCATTCATCCGGGCAAAACGCCGTCACATCCTCTGATAAAAAACATACGCCATACTTATCTGCGCTAATGTCTATAGCAGTTGACGCACACGGAAGCACGAAATAATATATAAAACGTTTATGTCGACTCTTGTTGGGTTGTAGGGTTACTCTACAAAAAAATTTAACTGCGTCCGAAAAGTAATTTCGATAAATTTGCGGCATTAGAAATATAACTCTCGTCTCGGACGTTAAAGCATGGTTTCAGGGTTGGCTACATTTTTTCCAGCGAAAAAAAGCTCATCAGTTGAAAAAAATTCTCTCGTAAAAACGCTTGGAAAAAACGTAGAAAGCTTGTGTTTTTTAAAATTATTCGAAATAAAACAAGAACTCACACTTTTGTGTATTAAATATTCATTGACAACTCAAATTTGATGATAACAAACAATGAGGAAAAGTGTAGGCGCAAGGAGTTTCTGTATCTTTCTTCTGCTTTTGCTTGAAGTTCGAGATTTGTGTTGACGTGCGCGTGTGTGGTTGTGCAGCTGAGCCCCGAGGACTCGTCCATCAAGGAGCCGTTCCTGAGCGCGCTGGGGCTGGGCCCGCGGGCCAAGGTGCTGGACGGGCGCGAGCACGGCTACACCGGCACGCTCAAGACCGTCATCAAGGTGCACCGCTCGCCCGAGAAGCGCGGCTCCAAGTTCCGCTTCATGGTGAAGAGCGGCGTGGGCGGCGCCGGCCCCAACGCGCCGGCGGCGGGGGCGGCGGCGGGCGGCGCTGGCGTGTGGCGGGGCGGCGGGCGCCGCAGGCCAATGGCAGCGCGCGCCTCGCGGACGGCGCGGCCGCGCCGCTCCGACGCGCCGCCCGCCGCCGCGCGAGCGCGTCGAGTACCGCATCCACCGGGAGGTGAGTCGCCCTCTACTTCCCCCCACCCTCTCTCGCTGCATCTCTCTCCCTTCCTCAACGCCTCCGCCTTTTCCTTCCTCCCTCCTCTTCTCTCCCCCATTCCTTTACCCCTTCCTCTCTTCCTCACCTGTCCCTCTCTCCCTCCTTCCCTCCTTCCGTTTTCCTCTACCTCCGCCTTCCCTCCATCCCCTTTTCCCTCTCCCCCTCCCTTCTCTTTCTCGCTCTCTCTTCTTTTCCCCTCCCCTTCTCTCTCGCTCTCTCCATCTTCCTTTGCCTTTCCCCTTTTCCTTTGTCCGTCATTTTCCTTATGTTTCTCTCCTCTCCCTGAAATTTTTCTCCCTCCTTTTTCTTCCTTCTCCCTCTTTCTCCTGCCTCCATTTTTTCCTCTCTCAACTTTTCTCCTGACCCTTTCACTGTCCCTGACACGCGCTATCCCCATTTATCCATTGCTGCTCTCTCTCTCTCTCTCTCTCTCTCTCTCTCTCTCTCTCTCTGTGTGTGTCTCTCTCTCTCTCTTTCCCCAATTTTTTCCCTTCTGTCCCTCTCTTTTTTTCTTCAATCCTTAAATTTCTGCCTACCTTTCACGCTCCCTTCCTGTTTCTTGTTCGTCTCTGACTGTGCCCTCTTTACGCTTCCTTTCCCCTTCCCTCGTCTTCCAATCTTTCTTTTCTTTCCTTCTGTCTCACTTTTTCTGTAGTTCCCCATTCATGTTTTTCCATAAGCTCTTCCCCCCAGTTGTTTCCTTGAATCCCTCTTTTTTCTTCAATTCCTCCCTTCTGTCTTCCTTTCTCCTTCCCTTTCGGGTTCTTGTTCGTTTTCGTCTGAGTCCTCCCTACTACTCTACTAACACACTCGCTCCCTCTTCACCCATTCTTTCTTTTCTTCCTTCCCCCCTCCCATTTTGTCGCGCTCTCACTCACTAGCACGCTCGCTTTCTTACTTTCCTTCTCCCCAATTTATTCCGACCATCCCTCTTTTTTCTTTTCTTCAACCCCTCCCTTTCTATCTTTCTCCCTTCCATTCTGGTATCTCGTTTATTTCCGAATGCCTTCTTTCTAACCCTCTCGCTCCCTCCTTTCCCATTCTTCCTGTCTTTCCCTCTGTTTTTCTCACGCTCGCCCTTCTGTTTTTTTCGTAAGCTCTCCCTCCCCCAAATGCCCCCGTCTCTCTGCCCACTTCCCCTCTTTCTCCCCTCTTGCCCGTCGAATGAACGTTGCCAGCAGTCATTTTAATTCAGATTTAAATGGCTGAAAAAGCAACGGGTACTAGAACAGCGTAGAGAAGTCGTGAAATTATCAGAGAATTGTATAGTATGTACGCGCATGCATAATACATTCGTACATATTCACACAATGCTTCAAAGAAAATAACCCGAACGTAGTTACATTCTTCATTCAAAAGTTTCATCCACGAGTGTTATACCGAATACAAGTAGTGAAGACGCCAATTTTCCATTGTCACAACTTTTGCAACTACGCGTTCTGCAATCGTTGCGTATACTAAAACTAAAGGGCGCTGTAAAGCGGGTTGCATTACCAGAAGTTTGCAGGAAGGAAATGAGAAAAAAGGGATAATTTATTCTCTCCCTAGAGCATTTCCTTTCAAGTTAATGACTGAATGAAAAGCGACCTAACAGGAACAAAAGCAATGCAAACGGAACTTGAATATAAACAAAATTAACTTTGAGATTCTAGTTACTTTTTGAAAGCACCCTTTGTAATAAACGAAGCAATTGTAGCAGAATTATGCCTATGTCAAATTTGTATGGTTGAACACTATAAAAAATATAATGCATTCGATTTGTCCCAGGCTGGGAATCTAAGGAAAGGTGAACACGGGCGAGTGTGGCGGGTTGCATACCTTCGCGTTTCTCTTCGACTTCTTTAGATATTTGATAATGTTCACTTTCCTTAACTGAATTTCTGTCGTAACTACTTTTCAAAACGTGACATTTTATTCAGAATTTTGAAATTTTTACTACAAGAATAAAAAAAATATTAAATTTTTTTGGGGATATGTGTGGGAAGTACTGTATTGACCATCTGACACCTTGCTTTCTGCATTAGTTAACTATCTAGGTTAATTTATGAACATTTGAAAATACAGGAACGTTACAAGCGATATTTTGTGGAAATTTTGAGTTTGAGATATTTGTCTATAATTTTTATTAGTTATGTGATGCTTATGGTGCATGCTAAATTACTTACTAAAATTGGACAGATTCAGATACTTGCTATTTGATTTATAAAGGCTGTCCAGTACAATACTTTCATGTTATTGCCAAATTTTGATTTTTGGCTTGTGGATGTCCAAGTCAAGTAACACATTAGCTGCAAATTTATTGTCTAACATATTTCAGTCATTAATTTATTTTTTTCAAAACAAATGAATGAAATCAACATTCAAATGGCACCGAAGTGCATTTTAATTGTTGTTGTTTGGAAGTCAGGACTTCTCCAAGCTAATAGTTCTAATTATGTTGCTTTTCCGAAAAGTGTACCTGAAGTAAATTCCTGTGTGGGCGAGAGAGAAGAACAGTTGAGGTTCTAACTGTGTCTGTGGGTTGCAGGTGCCTGCTGCATTGGACCCAACTGCAGCTGATCTCACCAACTTCGGACTTGGGAACCGCAAGTGTCTGAAGCCATTTACTTTCCGATCTTACTTCGGTTTGTTAACCCACTAATCACTCTCACGGTTCTCTGTGGTGTGTTGTCAGAAGTCCTCACTTAAGGTTACTGCTGGGTGGTTCTTGGACTTTATAACACCGTCTTGATGTGGACAAATAACTTGTAGAATTTATTGAATTACGGTTTATTGATTGGGAGAAGGGCTAACTTTGGTATTGGAGCACTCACCAATTTGCGCTTCTTGATTTATGAATAAAGATGTTTTTGTGACAAATTGATTTGGCTACTGAACTCTATGAGTTGCTTGAATACTCATGGAATTAATTCCCTTTTTGGATTGTGTAGGATAGTTTGAATTTGATATTTTAGCTTGAAAATTAATTAATTTGTGCTAAGATTTTAAAACTGAGCGAGTGATCAATTGAAACTTGTGGGAGAGATTTGTTTTAACTTTTGAAAAGCATTCACTTCCTAGTGATTAAAATTGAGAAAACAAAAGAAGTATCATATCAAAGATTGAAAAGATGTAATGTTAAGTAAGGACTTACATAAAGTTTTTTTTTTTATATATATATGATATTTGGTGTTTGTTTTCCATTTTGCATATTTTATTTATTTTATCATTTTTTTTGTTTGAATTATTACATTTATTTTCATTTTCTTTTTTTCTTCCGTAATTGAATGTTCTTTGAAATGGGATTTAAATTAAATGTCTGAAAATAAGCTAATTATCTTTTAAAGCAATCCACTCTGTATTATTTTTATTTTAACTTATTCTTTCTTGATGGGGTTGCAATAATATGGTTTTTACATATTTAATGTCAGACTGTTCTTCCACTTACATTTTGTTGTCTGATTTTCTGTAATTTTCTTTGCAATTCCTTGATTATAAAGATACACCTAAGTAACCATCTTTTAATTTTTTGTACTTATATATTACAAAAAGTGTGGAAGTGAATATCAGGAGATTGATAAAGGAACACATTATCTGGAATTAAATTTTAAAAATTAAACTGTGGACTCTTGGTGCATGTGATTTGCGAAAAAAACGTTTTTTCTCCCCTCCATCAAATGCAAAATTTTGCCATATATTCAGTTGCTTTGGTATGTTATAATAGCTTAACATATTCTGCCACAGATTTGAAAAGTCGAAGTAAATCTGTTGAGTGTGGAATCAGTCAGCCACTGGGGCAAGCAAAGCGTTTGTGCAGTGCAGTGCTTAAAGGACTAAAGGACTGATGTTTTAATATTTTTACAAATACCTTCCTGCATGTTGTGGATACGCTGGGACATGTTTGGAAGATTCCAGTTTATGACATTTGATTTTATATCTGGTGCATGGTGAGCACTGTTGGGTGATGGCACTGAGCAAATCAAGTGTTGGTGCAGCAAGAGCTCAAAGCATGGACTAAAACTTAGAACCTCTCTTTAGCACTACTGGCATTGTGAATTATTAAGATTTTTCACACAAATTCAATACTTATTATTATGATGAAACTTTTCCCTTTTAATTGGGTTGTTTATTTCCTTGGGTTTGTGGATGCAAACTTATTATTGAACATTATTATCAAACATTACTTAATATTGACAAGAAAAATGCCCGCTATTCTCGAATGAAATGTAGCTGAAAATTTTACATTTAGATTATCAGTACATTTCTAATGGGTTGTGAATTTCAAAGATTTTGTGAAAGAATACTTGCTTTAGAAAGCAACAACTATGTTTTTGAGAAAAAATTAAATATGCTTATGTGAAATTATTTTATGACATGCATTTTTGTGAAACTGTACTTTTTGGATTTACTTGGAGGTGTATCTCATAAAAATATTAATTAATTCATTAATTAATTAAAAAAGGTTTTATTACTGTTTGGGTTGTGTTCAAGAGAGGTTAGAGGAATTTCCCTGAATGAACTTTTTTTAACAGTGTTTTTTAATACATGGTGACGTGATATAAATTGTTTCAGAAATGAATGCTCCTTTGTCTTATAAGGTGTTGGTTAAATATTTTGCTTAACTTACGCATGTAGTCCAGTGAAAAAAATAGACAGTGATGAAGCAATTACCTTTTCAGATCTTAGCACCAACTCTCCATTTCTTAAGGAAAATGCCCCCAACTCTGAGAATGCTGAAAACAAATCCAGCAATAAAGATGATTCAAAAGGTCACAGGTTAGTACTTTTTATTTTTATGTACCAATTTTTATGAAAAAGGTCTTTGCTGTGAAATTGGAAAAAAATAAAATGTTAATTATTACAGAAAATTTTGAATTGATCAACAAAAATACCATGTGTTTAACATTTGAATAAAAGGGTTCCTAAAAAAATGAAATTACTCATATATATGGTTTCAAAATGAAGGAAACATAATAATTATTGTAATATATGTGTCATCACACTATAATTATAAGCAAAAAGTTATTCAAATTTATTTGAGTTGATTCAGTTTATTATTTTACTTTTCTCATTTTCAAACACCATTTGTTTTAATTGTTGCAGCGCCAAAGCTGGTGAAAATTTGGTCATCCCTGAAAAGAGTTCGTCATTCTCTATTCACCCTGGCAGACTCTGCTCAGACGTGTGCAGCTACTGCTTTGGCAAATTTGGCTCGTTGGACACACCCTGCCACATAGCGCAGCTCAAAAACGTGGAGAGGCAACAGAAGATCCTTCAAAGTACGTGGACTTATTAGATGTAATCTTTTGTTGGCATGTTTGCTCAGGTCTGGGTCAAGCTGAAAAAGTGAACTACGAGATCACTTCATTAACAGTTCTGAGAACGTAAAAAATATCTCTTCCATCTTTCACATAAAGGTTGTAGCTGAATACTACTACGTTTTTAAGAGATGCATACAATGTATTCTCTCAGTACTAATTACTAAGAAACGTGAAAGTTGTTCTTGCAAATGTATTTTTACATATTGCTCAACATTAAATGAATAAAATCATTTTTTTTTTAAATCAAATTATCTTAATTTGTCAATGATTACCTATAGTCATCATAACTCTTGGAACCAGTTATATCCTGAATATTACTTCAAGGATTCTGGAATGACAAAAAGAAAAATTAAGAGAATTGTTTTAGTGAATTTTAAACAAAATTCAATAAATTTTTGTTTATTTCTCTCATTAATGGAGTGAAAGATATAACATTGAAATTAACTTGAACAAGGAGAAAAAATTGATGATTGCAGATATACATTCATCGTCAATTCTTTTCTCTCACTTCTCAGTTTGGATCTTGTTTTCCTGTTCCTCATCAATTTTTTGTGTTTACATTTGTCAATTTGTCTAGGTTTTTTAATTATATCGACAGAAACAGTAATTGGATTGTTTCTTTTGGTTTTATTTATCCTCAATTTCAGGCAATTTTGTTTAGGGTACTTTGTGTTTGCTGTTGTTGGAGAATTTACTTTCTTATCACTGGTATTATTGAGCACAAATCTTGTTGCCTTTCAGCTGAGACTCATCTGACGGCTGACTCGTGTCTGTGTGATGCGTGCTACCGGCATGTGGATCGCAAAGCCAACTGCCCGTCGTACAATCCATCTGGGAACAGGAAGAAGTGCCAGCGAACCGGCTCCACCTCCCACAACCAGTGTGTGTCAACTGGCTGCACGCAGCCAGCGGTGCACATTGTGCGGCGCAAGTGGATGGTGAAATTGAAGCGGTGTATCGGCAAAAAGGTAGGCCCATAAATTGGATTACACGATTTGTATTATGTTGGTTCCTTAATGTAATTATTAATGCATTTATTTAGAATTAATGCATGCATTAAATAGTTACTTATTGTTAAAATATCTATGCTCCAAAACCAATATGGTTGTGCTTGAGGGTTATGCCTGGTTGATGGCAGTGTTGCTATAATTCATGGCAGCAGGTACCAAAACAATTGAAATTCTTCTTGTATCTTAACTTGACAAATGTTGAAGTGTCAGCTTGGGAGTGAAATAGTTGACTCGTGATCACCTGTAATTTTTGTGCAGCTGGCCATTTGTTGCTTGAACAATAGTGTTGCATTTGAAGTCTTGACAGAATTTTAGAACTGGTCTGCACGCTCTTATTTGGACTGTACTTTGCTTTTTCTAACAGAAAAGAGAATTGATTGACTCTCAATTTTTTGAATGTACTACCTATGGGAAAACATATTTTTAAATGACAGTAAATCATCTCTTATGAAACACTTGTAAAAAATTTCCCCATGCAGTAACAGTAAGTTTTGATAACTTTACATTGGTACCTGCAGTTTGTTTACCAGAAACTGAAAATGAGATAAATTAGTTGTAAGATGTCTCAATGAATCCTTTGGATAATATGAATGTCCTTGAAGAAATCTGGAAGATGTGATTATCAATTATAATTAGAAGTCATCATGACTACTCTTCACTTCAGAACAAAATAAGATGTGACAAGTTATTTTACTATTGGAAAATCAGTTTAATACTGAAAGTAAGGGATTTGACTGATTACAAATAACTATCCTCCCTTTGACCAGTTGATTCAAATCGTCTTGTTGCTCTCATCTCTTTCAGAAAATTCAAGTGTACCTTTTGAAACGTTGGCTTGCTGGGTTTTGAAAAAACACTATTACAAAAACAGCGGATTAAATGCTGTAAATAATTTTTTGGGATTGGTTACTTGCAGAATAGGTAACAGTTGAAGAGCTTCTCAGTCATATTCCAGTGTTTATGTTAATGAAGAGAATGATAATGACCATGGTGATAATCAGTTCCACATTTATTAATATGAGCTTTGCTTATATGTTATTTCACAAATACATTGCAAACAAGTGTACGACTTCCTCAGCCTTAGGGGTTACGGATTTAGTGCTATTACTTGCGCAAGTTTTCTTGAATGATGGCTTGAAGAAATGGGGGTATTAGTTACGTAATCAGCCACTAGATTTTATGAAGCAATGCCAATCTCTGGAGAATCAGTCATGCCTTCGCAACTTTCTCCATAATTTATAGAGAATATTTCTAACTTATTCACGAGTTTGAGGTATATCCTATCTTCACCTGCTTCAGTCATTTCTTTAGATTTTGTGGAGAAAATCACGGACAGAAGTTCTCATCTTCAACAGAGAATAGTTTCCATTTCACACAAGTTAAGATGTGAAGGAGTCTTTTCATCAGTGTTCGATGTGAGCATTTGCCTTCAATTGTTTGTTGTGCCAGGGAGGGGGAAGCAAGGTCATCGTTCAAGAAGAGTTGCGCGAGTAATAGCAAATGAGCTCATGGATCTGCTTTTAATGGCAGTTTAGTGGTTACTGGAAACCCTCAAGGAAATAAGAAATGTCATGTACAAACAAAATTGGAGTGGCAAGACTTGATGCAAGTTGGTCCATTTTTCTTCTTAACTGTGCTATGAGTCAGTGAGGTTAAAAGGTTTCTTGTGCCTTGTTCTCTGATACGTAAGAAGTTGTTGAAAGTTTAGAACCATGTTCCCCAACTTTCAGATCATTGCAGAATGCCTGAATATCTTTCGTTTGAAAGGATGGTGATACGATAAAACCTACTTACACAGATAATATTACAGAGGTGGTCACATTATTAGACTTGATGAAACAAAAATGTATTTTCAGCTATAGGTCTTGACAATGTGCTGAAGTTTCAAATGTTTCATAATTATGCTCTTATTCAAAATTAACTTATTCATTATGAGTCATGCTGAAAATAATTTTTTAAATCTTTCAATTCCATAGTAATTTTGCTAGATGTGGGTGAGTTCGTTCTATGAGCTAGTTTGTGTGACCTTTACTTCAGTTTCTTTTAACTGTAGATGGAAATTTTTCTGTGGGATTCACCTCAAGGCTATTTGCAACCCGTTAGAGCACAGACTCATCAATGACTTGAAAATATTTTCTAACTTCCTTTCCTATTGTGGTATGGAGTCCTGAATGAATACGGTGTTTGGATATTTTCCAAATGTCTCCTATATGTCCAGCAACCTTTGGTACTTTAAGGTCTTCTATGCGTTGCCTCATGAACTATGTATAAATTTCCAGTGTAATTAACAGACATTACACTTTAAACCATTACTTTTGCCAAGTGCTTCTCTGGTGCCATTAAAATCTGTTCAGTAAAAAATTAGTCTAATAATTTGGCCATTTCTGTTTGCGCAGCATTTGTGCTGCTTTGTGAAAGCATTAAAATTATCCATTACCTGGTGAAAGTTCTTCTTTACTTCTGTTAAATTAATCGCATATTAAGTTCATCATATGTGTAATAAGGAAGGTTATCATTTTGTGTAGTTAACAGAGTTGACTTTGTGATAGTTCAGCGTCTGTATTATTCCTCTGGAACCGTAAATCCCAACATGCAAAATTGTTGGATGATTTGAATCTTCATTGCATGTTTTTTGTTGTTTTTATTGTCTTTGAGAAGACAGGTGACAGACTTCCCTGGCAGGCTGTGTCAGACCCAGTTCTAAATTCAGTGTTGCTATCAGGTAGAGGTTTGTTATTAACAATAGTTCATCACCTGTTTAGTTAGATTATGTTATCACAAAAAATTTTTTTTTACAAATATAGAAACCTATTGAAGGGGCCAACCTATTGAAGGGACTGTGAAACATTGTCACAACAATGTTTCTATTATTAATGGTTTGTAAACTTTCTGTGAATTTATATTCAGCAATACATACACTTTGTTCCAGTAGGTAAATCATCTCTTTGATAAGTCATTTGGTCGGTCATAAATAACATGGGACTTAAATGGTAAAATACTATTGCCTGAAGAAAAAAGTGTATTAAAAGATATCGTTAACATAGAATTTTGCTGGACAGTTTCCAGGAATTTTTGAAAGTGATATTCCAAGTATTAAGAATTGAAATTCACACAATACATGCCTTTTTATTATTTGATAATGAATTCAAATCAGGGCAGAAATACGCAAAACCTGGAATGAAACTCATAGACTACAATGGAATTTGAAAGTTAGTTTCATTTTTGTACTCTGGAGGTATAAGGTGTGTCACATTTACCGTTTCTTTTCAGCAGATCAGTTTAAAGATGTGTTTGTCCTCTAGATGATGGACGTGTTATTTTGACTGCTAATCTTTCAAGTTAAAACATTTTATTACTCTTCCAGCTAATTTTGCAGTTTGTGTACGAGTTTCATGTTGATGGCTGGTCATATGTGATAGTGTAGTACAAGAATAATAGTGTAGTAGGTGCAAAAATTTCTCTGGAACAAAATCATTGTTCAACATCTATATCTTGTGCAGTACACAGACTGTGCCATTTTATATGATGACACACAGTATTATTTAACTTTGAACTGTGATGTTATTTGAGTGTCAAAATTCCCAACAATTGATGACCCTCAAATGACCCTCAAATTTGGTGTTGTTGTAGAGGATTCTTTTCATTGTGTAATGGGGGTACCGGCTTGATTTTTCTTATTCCCTTTCCTCTCTTATTTTGCAACCAGAGGCAACAAGCAAAGACTAGGTATTGTGATGAGTTTTCGTTGGCATTTGCAATGAAAAAATTATACGAGTCGTCATTGTCAACAATATTATTTATTACAATAGCAGCTTTCGATGGCTTAGCCATCATCATCATCACTGATAATTTGAAAAAAAGGTCTAAATGCAAGGAATTTTTAAAAAAATGTTTCAAACTTTAGGTCCTTTTGGCACAAATTAATATTAAAATACATCAAAAGGAAGAACAACAAAAACAATTTTAGGATTGTGCGCAATGAAAGATGGCATTGGAAAAAAGGCTAGTTTGTATTTAGAGGGTTTTTCATTCTCAAAATACAATGACCGTCTGTAGCGGAGGTATGCAACCAGCAGTGCACACAACTCGGGCCCGCCCTTCTTAGAAAACTTGTTTCAGTCAGGTTCACTATCTTCGCTTTCGTGTATCTTATCTCGCGGTTGTGATGGTCTTACGAGATGAAATAAGTATTAAAAGGAGTTTAGCTATCCCGCATATCTGCGAAGATCCCATTTCGTAGGTTGTTACTAAAGTTCGACTCGGTTCCAGTCACAGCGATGAAGTTTGAAAATTGTCGCCTTCGATGTGGTTGTATTAACGCGCATGACAACACCTACCAGTTTTTACTGCCGAGCTCTACGATTCGTCCTTGAAACCTCATTGAATTGCAGAGATAAAAAAAAGCTGTCTCTCGCGTCCTCCCCTCTCTGATAAGGGAACAGACAAACCCACGGGATGTGAAGGTCTTTTCTCCTCTGAATTGTGCAGCCACATTACTGCGAACTAGACAGAAGTTCAGGACGTAGTTTTATTTTTTTTAGTGGTGGTAGGAATGGCACTTGTGAACGCCTTTAGCTGTGCCGTGCGACCTGGGAGATGTGGGCTCGTTGTGAAACAGCGGCCGAAGCGCCAACCGGGACAGACGTCACCGCCGCACGCTATTGCAACACGCCACGGCTCGCTCGCGCTGATAGGCCCCCGTGCTTTCCCGTCTCCTCGCCGCTTTTCGCGTCTGCTGCCTTTTCTTTGCGTTCTCGTTTTTTTCCCTAGTCATCTGAATGTGTACATTTCCAGCGAAAAATGAAACCGTGTATACGAATATAATGTGAAGAACAGAATTATTTAAAGTTCGAAATATAGCAGTTTTAATAGCTATAGCAAAATGTATCGCTCATCCGTAATAAAAGTATTCCTAAACGTTGGGATTTAAATATTATCAGGTATTCTCGGAATTTTTT